GGAAAGTTACCGCGCCAATCGCTCCGGAGCGGCTTGTTTTTTAACGGTTTAAAAATGTGTTAACATCCGTTTCACCGATTGTGAGTTGCCGGGAACCAGCGACGGAGCCTCGGCCATTCTAGCAGCAATGACCCGAATGGAAACTTTACTTTGTGGCGTAAACGGTTTCCCTGGGTGGCGCGGACCTCTTAGCAGTAAATGTGTGACATTTAACGCTAAATCGTGCGGGAAAGAGTTAGTAATGTGAAGTATTGACTGTCGGGCCTAGCTGTGTTCCTGAACTACGTGTTTGTTGCATTAGCTCACACGATTGAACCAAAAAGGAAGTTGATTTGTGATTAGCTTCAAGTCAAATGTTTAGCGGATGATTATTGAAATGAATAAACTGTGATTTGACGTCGCTCTATTTAATTCCGTACTTGTCATGTTTATTTGTTATAACACTTAATGTGGAAGAAGCACACAGCGGAGTAAGTCACTGCAAATAACAGTGGCCCCGGAGGCAGACAGCTCTTGTGTTAGATCGGATCCATTGTGAGAACGGTAATACTGGTTTATTTGTTCCCAGTTACTATGGAAGAAGTACAGCAGGGCAGCAATGGCACTGAGACTGCCACCATTCCCACTATCATCACATCCTCTCAGTTCTCACAGATAGCCCAGCAGGTAACTCATAGATCCCTTTCAAAACACCATTAAAAAAGTATCTCGAGCACTGCATTATGGTGCCACGGTTGCACTTGATCTGCTAATACAGCTTGTCCATTTTGTTTGTGAACATCGTACTGAAAGCACACTAGATCCCAAGATTGGCATGTTATTCATAAAGGTTATTTGCAGGTATATGTAGCATGTTTGCTTTAACTCTTACATATGACATATGGCTAAAAATGTGAGATGGATCCATGACGGCCATGTTGATCATTTACTACGACGCTTCTACATTGCTTAACTCTTTATCAGCACTTAGAGGAGAATAATCTCACCAAATGTATGTCTTTCCAAATTGTACCGCATTCAATTTTACAAACAACATTTTAAATGTTTTAAAATGCATTTCTGTCAAATTTGTAGTACAGTGAGGGATTGCTGAATCTGAGATTTAGTGTGACTGGTGTGTTTGATGGAGTCTCGCTCCTTCTGTTGCTGTCTTTACTTGATGTACTTGTTCATGTACCTGAAGCTGCTACAATATTTATTCAATCTGTAGGAAACATTGTGTACCTGACTGGGTGATAAATTTTGCAGACTTCAAAATTCGATTATGTCTGTGGTTCTCACTATATACATATAGAAGTAAAAATTCAGCAATTAACCTGTCTTTGGGAAATTAGCTTCCAGTTACTCTGGATTTTCATTGACACTATTCCTGCTGAAGGACATAGATCCCAGAATAACCAGTGAATTGTTACTTGAAAGACACAATACTGTTGAGCATGTCAAATGTATTTTTTTTCTATTCTCATTCTGCATTACAGTTATCTAAATTCTAGACAACCAAAACCACCTCATGCCACCAGGGGTAGTTTTCAGCTTTGTTTTCAATTACAATTAAAGTGTGTATCTAATGTAATTACAATGGGAAATATTCTTTTGTGCATTTGAAATTACTTTTGGATTTTTTTTCCAGATGTCACTAGGTGGTTCTTCTGTGGCTGTTGTACAACTGCCAGGGGGTCAGTTTCAGGTGCAAGGAGTGATCCAGTCTGCACAGTCGTCAGTCATTCAATCCCCTCAGGTGCAGTCTGCACAGGTAAAAACCACTTGCTTTTTGTTGGCACTTGTATAATTATATATATTTATGCTTATGTAGTTTTTAATTCACATCAACTTTCAAGTCTCAGGGTTCAGACAGTGACGATTCACAGGACTCATCAGACAGTGGAGCAACAGCCCAACACACCAGAGAAATACTGGCAAGGCGGCCCTCATACAGGTAAAAAAAAAAAACACACTCTAAACACAAGACTATTGCAGTGTAAATGTCTTTTTTTTTTAAATTAAATAAACCTTCATCTTATCACCTTATAGAAAAATCCTAAATGAGCTTTCTTCTGAGGAAGTGACACACATTGATGGAAAGGATAACAGCCCAGCATCCACAGGAGTGACAGGTGTTACACTACCCACCACCCCAATCTACCAGACCAGCACCGGCCAGTACAGTACGAACATTTCCCTTCTATGTGCTTACAGTTATGATGGATTGATATGACAAATAACTGTGTCTTTTATGACAGTATGCTCACCAGACAGTATAGAGTTAATATGATGTCTACCAGACACAAGATTTCTTGCTGGATTGATAGTGTGATCTATTAACACTGAGTGCTCTTTAGTTCCCAGAATGATAACCTAGCCTTAAGCAATGTTTACAATTTGTTTGCTCTCTTCTGTTGCCATCTGTGTGGTTTTTCCAGTTACTATAGCTCCAAATGGAACAATCCAGCTGGCGACTACAGGATCCGAAGGCATTCAGGGATTACAGGCTGTCACCATGGCCAACTCTGGCGGAGCCCAGCAAGGCACCACCATCCTTCAATATGCCCAGACACCTGATGGGCAGCAGATACTGGTGCCCAGCAACCAGGTTGTTGTACAAGGTGAGCAGAACATGACGTGGTTTAGTAAAATTGACCTGAAATTCTAAATTGGTTTTATCTGCTAACGTAGTCCGGAGGACAATTTGGCAGGTCGTTAGATGCCAAAAAATTTATTATGTTTTCAGCCAGAGTGTCAAAGAATCAGTTTATTTTATTTGCCCTGGTTCAGTTTAATTTGTAACAAACCAACATGTGATGGCCAATAAAATGTGTGGATATATCTGGCAAATTCTACTGTTCAATAAGCAAGCATGAGGACTAATACACAGGGCATTTACTTAAGTATAACAACATTTTGTCTCCGTATTGAGACCAAAAACTTCCAACATAAACAAATGACTTGAATGTTGTTTCTCCCAGGTGCAGGAGGAGAGGTACAAACATACCAGATTCGCACAGCGTCCGCATCCAGCTCCATGCCTCAGACTGTAGTTATGACCTCTCCTGTGGGAATGTCTCAGGGCAAGACTGATGATCCCACATTTAAGAGAGAAATCAGGCTTGCAAAAAACAGGTAAGTGTGCTGTTTCAGGGTTTATACACACGTGGAAAAACATTTTCTGGTATATTCGGTAAAGCAGAGTAGTGTTGATTATAATTAATGCTCCTTTTAGTACTGTTATAATTAATAATGTATGTTCTGCTTTCCACTTGATTAATAACAAACATTTGAATCATTTAGATTTTTCTGATTCATATGGATGTTATTAAATTGTTGTAGATCCAAATATAAAAGACTACTTAATTAAGAGGTCATGAACCCATACAGATCTTAAGTGCCAAATTGAAATACACTCTAAAACTGTTGAAAGTGATCACCTAAATCCTGAGGGTTTTCTGAAGAGCTGACAGAATTGCAAAATGTTTGATAGCTTAAACATTTGGCGTCTCCATTATAAATTATTTTCGCTTCCTTAAACTTTGTAAATATAAAAAAACCCAACAAAGTTGGCAAACCTGCCATGAGCCTTCCTTCTTCCTCCTCAAGCATATCTCTTACCAACTGAGTCTTGGAAAGCAGAGTGAGCAAGAACGTTCACTGGGTCTCGTAGTATTCGCCAACAAAACATTAATCTGTTTCAATATCGCTCCTCTCACTTAGATCTTCGGCCTTCGACTTTGTTGCTGTCTAAGAATGCTAACAAATAAACTACATTTCCCATTATGCATTTCGCCTTTCCTGCTAGTATTTTTCTGCCAATAACGATGAAGTCACATGTCTTGAAAATGAAGACTTTGTGAATGAGACGTACATGTTTCATCTGCTCCAAAGGGAGAAGCAAGCACACGTCACCCAGTCTTAAAAGTATATAAACGCATATGTCATATCTGGTCCCTATGGGTTAATTAGCTTATTGCAACAAAGTATTGAACAATGTACAGGGAGACTGTCTAGGCATATTGTAATGTTATTTCTTACTTATCGCACTGAATACATGAATCCTCAGTTTTACTAACTGCTCGTTTGCTCCCTCTTCAGAGAGGCAGCCCGTGAATGTCGAAGGAAGAAAAAGGAATATGTTAAATGCCTGGAAAACCGTGTAGCTGTTCTCGAGAACCAAAACAAGACCCTGATAGAAGAACTGAAAACATTAAAGGATCTTTATTGTGTTAAAACAGGATAACCTGTGGTCAAGGATTGAGGTGTGGCACACACAGCTCAGCCATTCGGACATGTTGGGGTTTCTGGGAACACATTTCAGGCTGAGATCCTCCAGTTTTTTTTACTCGGTTTGATACATAAGTGACCTGTGATCACAGTGAGATTTACTCAACAAATGAAAAAGAAATTGGCCATTTTTTCCACCTGCTGTTTTTTACTAAATTTGCTAATTCTATAACATTTATAGTTGTGTACATTTTTAATACTGGGAGGTATGAAATCATGAGCTTTAACTTTTAAGTCTCAGTTTCTAAATGTATCCCTTCCTTTTCTCTTGTTTTTTAAATGTTACTGTTGGATATTTTTTCTTCTTCTTACAGCATCTGCAGAGTTTTGCCTGTATAATTACTCACAGACAAAATTCCTGTTTAATTTTATGAACCAGCAATTCCCTGTATCTCTCCATTACAATTGTCATTCCTTATTTTTGTACAATGGAATATCAAGGGTAACAGTAATTAATACGTCGAGTGTTGTTTGTTTGGTTGTTTCTTGGCAGTTACTTAGACAATCAGGGAAAAAGCACAGTGTCCAGGTAATATTTATTATGTGCATCTTGGGAGGGGTGGGGAAGAAGAACAAAGCGTTTATGAAATGTTGCTGATTCTGTAAGAAAATAAATATATTTTCACTCAAAATTTAGAGAATGTAGTTTTGTTAAATTTAAATGACAGCAGATCTCATATAGCCACAGGGGTGCACATCATATATAATTTAACCTTTTCTGTGTAGATATAATGTGAAACCTACAGCTGGAATTTGTAGGTTTGAGCATCTTATATGAGGTAGTTACAAACAGTAAGAACTGACTAATTAATGAGCTTTGAGTGAAAATGCTACAGTATAGACCCCCTAAACAATGGCAAAATGATGCGTCCATTCTCCCCTGCAGTCACTTAATGGAAAATCCCATGATATGTGGTCTTATCAATGACGTCACCCCTGGAGCCTCAATTTGTTTTAAGTGAAGTTCAGAGAAACCAGCAGCTTCTAGATCTTTCCATGTGGCTCTGGTGATCATGCATCCATCCCCGAGGTAGTACCACACAGGTTCAAGCACATGCTGAAAGAAGTATGTCCATGAAGACGGATCGGAGACAACATGTTCCAAAAAGAAGAAGGCTCCGCCCTGTAGGAGAGAGCAAACAAAAACCCACCAATGCATGATCAGTCATATCTGGCTCTATAACCGTTCATTTGCTCAGCTTCCTGACTGTTACTGGTTAGAGCTGTCGAGCTACTGTATTTCATGTGGGGTGATCCTGATAAAACACAATTGTGAAATTGCCAGTTGATGTCATCAGATATGAAATTTCTTTCAAATCATTCACATCTCGGACACTGATCAAAAGTGACTGAAAAATTAACTGAAGTAGTCGTTAGACCGTGCAGAGAAAACCAGGTCAATTTGCATCATAGAATCAAACCTATTCTAGGGCGTCTACTGTATACTTGCATCTGTAAACATCCTTCACATTGCTACAGATGCATTACAAACTATTGCAACATATGTGTAACTGAAAAAGAAAAGAGAAAGAAAACAAAAGCACTCTATCCTTCTACCTTGCAGCTTGAGCAAGTTCATACTTATATGCTCTAAATGTAAATTGGTCAATGGGTGACATCAAAGATAGAAAGCAATATATATAGATGTAATTACTTAATAAGAATGGACAATCAAAATAGTGTTTGCAACTTGTGCAATCAATTAATCAACCATGCCAAGGCTGCAGATCCTCAGAGGCCCCAAACCCCAGGTTCACTGCACGTCAGTGGATATTTGGAAATTGGTTTGCTGCAAATTCAAAGGACTCTGAACTGCTAAAGTGCAATATCAGCCAAAGGCCTGCAGTATTACCTTACCCTGTATTCTGGATTTGTTGGGTCTTGTGTCAAAATCTTGTTTTTTTCCAGTGAATATATTTAGTTTTTGTCAAATCAAGCAGCTGATGCACGTAGTTTTATTCTGTACTCGGTATCTGGGTCTCCTTCAGTGGTGTGCACTGTATTTAATAAACACTTAAAGGCAACTTGACACCTCACACCGTTGGAAATGAGTTCATGAAAGATTTTTTAAAAAGTCAGTACCAACGTTCAATGCCTCAGGGCTGCCTATCAGGTTTATCCAGCCATGCACACGAAGCCATAACCACATGAAGCCATTCAATCCAAGTTTAATATTTCACAAGGGAGTGGCAGCGACATGTCGAGACTCACAGGTCTGAGGATGCGCCGCACCTCCTGAAGCACCTCCTTCACGTCCCTGACGGAGCAGAGGACCAGTGTGCACACCACAACATCCACAGACTCGTCCCGCACCTCCTCCATGTTCTCCCCTGACACCACAACGAACTCCTCGTAGGTCAGGTGCGTGTTGTCGGCCATGCTCCTGCGCAGGTAGCCGCTGAAGTGCGGGTTGGGGTCGGTGCAGGTCACCGTGCAGCCGCCGGGGTAGAACCTGAAGTTCGCTCCGCTGCCGCAGCCGATCTCCAGCAGGCGCAGGGTCCCGTCGCTGTTCGCGAAGCTGCCCACGTTTCTGAAGAGCTCTCTCTTGATCCTGTGCGTTTTAGCGTTGTATGAAAACGTGATGTTGTAGGCGAGGAAGGGAAAGAGGCGTTTGTAAACACCGCACAGGCCCGTGAGCTGCATCAGGTTTAATGGGAGAGTCAATGCACAGCAGAGCAGTCTGCAGAGTTTCATGAGACAAGTCGTCATGTTCCTCTGAGGTAACACGAGGTCTGACTGAAGGGGATTTAAGGCTGGAGACTTTAGCAGATCAACAGATTACACCGTTATTACCTGAGACACCGTGGCTGTGCTACACCACCTCCACCACACGATGGCGCTAGTCTGAATATGGTGGGAGTGTGATGATGATGACTTCATCATTCAGACTCAGTGTGTAGATAAGATACAACACAGAATAATATGGAACATCAAGTGTGACAGTAATTGTGACGTTTGTTTAGTTGTCTTCTTGGGAGGGGTGGGGAAGAAGAACACTGTTTGTGAAATGTTGATTCTGCAGGAAAATAAATATATTTTCACTCAAACTTTCTAGTGTAGTTTTGTAATTTTTATGTAGATGACAGCAGATCTCATACAGCCACAGTGGAGCAGACAGGGTTTCCTTTGCCACCATATATAATTTTACTTTTTCTGTATATATAGTGTTTATAATGTGAAACCTACAGCTGGAATTTGGAATCTTTATAAATAACAATACAAAATCAACATGTTATATGAGGTAGTTACAAACACGTAAGAATATAAATTATGGTTGGTCAGCCAATAAATTGGGCTTATATGAGCCTTTCACCTACATATCCATCATTGTTTGTTTGCTGATACACACCAACGTGTAAACCTTTATTTAATTTGTAATAAAGTTTATGTCTGAAGTGTAAAATTTTAGGCCTCAATTACACTATGATAAAGGGTATGATAACGACAAAAAGTCAGCAAGCCAAATTTTCTTTTACTGACAAATTACTGCGCTTTTAGTCAAAATACTACAGTATAGACCCACTTAACCATGGCAGAATGATGTGTGTGACAGGTTCTGCTTAAACTAATAACTGTTCTTTCTATATCCTCTCAATACATGTTTAATCTGAAATAACAACACTGCATCTGGGTTGAAAGATTTAATACATAACATTTAGACACGACAACCACTTTAGTCACAGCAAAATGTATATATCAGAGGCACCACTGTCACATCATTAAGGCAGTAAATCCAGCAGTAGCAGAGATAAACACTAACAGAGAGACGTTCACCGAGGCAGCATAAGACTGATTTATCAGCAGAAATGATGAGCATAGAAGATTAAAAAAGATTTATTTCAAGATATATATTTTCTTATACTTATACTGCAATCAAAATTAGTATTGTGAGCTATGTAATTCAGTGCCTTAAAGTCATGTCTTTGCATAACACTCGTTCTTTAAGTAGAAATTAAGGAAAAAAGGACTGATAACCTTAATGATATATTTGTCATAAAACATAGAAACATAGTCAAAATCAGTGGACAGGAAAACCAATTAAACACGTGACTCTGAATGTTTATCTGCTGGAGAGATATAAACTTAACACTGTGTTATATGGCTTAAAATAGACCCCCCCCCCCTTATAAAAATAACAAAATCTTCTAAATTCAGATTTTTTCAGCCGCACCAAATTATATACACTCATACATGTCAGCCCACTGGATGTGTCTGATTTTTATGACACACTATATCTTTGTGAGGGAAAATACCTCTCTTCACTTCACTTGCCACGGATACATGTTTAAGTAATATTCTCACTCTAACACAGAATGTTTCCTCTCTTATATCTAACCCCGATTAGCATAATCTGACCATTTTCCTGCATCCAAAACACTTCCCCCCTGAAAATGATGGTTAAACTTCATAAATGCTAATACAAGCCAGGTCATCTCGACCAAGTCAAAGAGTTATGTCCTCACCAGAACATTCCACTTCTAACATTAGCTCACACTCCCTGACTTAATGGCTCTCTTGACAGATAACACTTGTAACTTAGCAACGCAACAGCAAAAACACATCTGTTATAATGCGAATCATGATCTCCCCTCACACACAAAAGTTGAATAGTGGCATATGTTGCAGAGAAGATTTATCTGCCCTTAAATCCAAATAACGCATCAAGATTTATTGGGTTCTACTCAGACCCCATCCCTCCACAAAGTTTGGTTGAAATTTGTTTTTTGCGCAAGACTTAAAGCAAATAAACCAATTTAGTGCAACATTTAGTGCAAAAATAAAATCAGTCAAATTGACTGCCATTCTCTCTGTCACTGGGATCATATCACACACTATAGTTGAGGACAGGCATTATAGGGTTGGCCTAGTCATATGGTGGTTGTGAGGCAGGATCACTATGAAGCTGATCAGACAGAATCTATTTAACAGCGTAGCCTATGATGTGTGGTTTGATTAAAAAGATGAGTGGAGCTTCAATGTGTCTGAGTTTGAGCTCAGAGAATTCAGCCGCCTCCAGATGTTTCCATGTTGTCCGGTTGACGTTGCATCCATCAAATAAGTAGCACAACACAGGCTGAAAAACGTGCTGGAAGAAGTATGTCCAGGTCGAGGCGTCTGCGACCACATGCTCCATGAAAAAGAAGGCTCCACCCTGCAAAGGAAAAATAGTGTTATATCTATATAATAGAAATTTTAAAAAACTTTGAAAAGAGCATTTGTGAGGATGTCTCTGATTTGCATGTTTTGCATCAGCGTGTTAAAGTCAGTTAAGACCAATGGTTTCATTTTTCAACTGCACAACAGCATTTTAATGTTTGTTGACTTAAAGCAACACTACGCAACTTTTTTAACCTTAAAACAAGCAGCTTCAAAATGAGTTTGATGGACAAATCCCATGGTGCAACACTCCCACGCCACTGATATCTTATATAAGTTTTAAGTTTGCCTGAGTCAATTTACTTGGACTTCAACTCCATGCTTTCATTCCATGTTTGTTTAGAGCTCGGTTTTCTCATCATATAGATATTGATGATCAGTAAAGTAAAAGGGGAATTTATATCAACAGGGGTGCAACAATTGTAAAACACCTTTAACCTGCTGCCAGTGAATCAAGGTTCAGTCTGATGAGCTTGTTAAGAAATACTACTGTGACACAACTCATTATCCAGTTCACACCATAAAGCATTCTTTTGTAATGTAGAGTGTAATTCTAATGTACATTTGTAAACAGAATAAAAAGTACTGTTGTTAAGTTCAGGGCAAAGGGTTTTATTAAATTCTAACTGAGTGTATCACATGACCAGTTTAGTCCAATCATGGTTGAAAGATCACACCCAGAGCAAAGGGGAAGTGAAAGTTTATTTTGATAAGCCCAACGTGAATAACAACCAGCACGTCCTCATAAGAACAGCAGTGCATTAAACCACCTAATGCTACATGTCGTTTAAACTCGTGTTTATTTATTACAGTAGTCAGACAACTTACAGGCCTCAGCATGCGGTGGGTCTCCCGCAGGGTTTGCGGTACGCTGTTGACAGAGCACAGCACCAGGGTGCAGACAACCACATCCACCGACTCGTCCTCGATTGACCCCATGTCCTCCCCCGACGCCACCAGGAACCTCTCGTACGTGAGGTGCTCGTTGGCGCTCATGTTTTCCTTCAGGTACTTCTGGAAGTGAGGGTTGGGGTCGGTGCAGATCACTCTGCTGCCGGGCGGGTAAAACTCAAAGTTAGTCCCGGTGCCGCAGCCGATCTCCAGGATGGTGAGCGGACGGTCGGAGCCGCTGAACTCCGGCAGGCTGCGGAACAGCTCCTTCTTCTTTTCGTGCATTTTCTTGTTGTACGTCACAGAGATCCGGTGCACGCAGAACGGGAAGACGCGTTTGTAGATTCCCAACAGGCCGAGGGCGTGCATCAGGTGGAGAGGCAGACACAGCGCGTACACGACCAGAGAACAACATCTCATTACCGCAGACATCTTGGCGGAGGGCGACCTCGGACACGTAGAACAGCTGCAGACAGTTCACTGTGACTCAGAGCAGCCGACACGGCAGGTCCGGTTCACACTTTCAAAATAAAAGCTGGGAACTCGAAACGCGCCCATTACAAAAAGGTGAATTGTTCCCTTCTCTTCTGCACCTGCTGGAAGCGTGACCCATCCTCTGTCGTTTTCTTCAAGTACTTTTCAGAGTAAACCATGTAGAGCACAACGCTGTGTGTATCTTCATCATCATCATCCTCATCAGAAGCTGCTTTTCTGAGAGCCTGTGGAACTGGAGGCACAGGTTTAGCTTCAGACTCATTAAGAGGCCTGAGAGTTGAAGGTGGAGAGTTCGAGGAGTTCTCTACTGCGCTGCTGTTGCTCTCTGTGTTGTAGCTGCCAATGCCAGTATGTGCTTACAAAGGGCTATGATTCCACTGCAAGATATTCAGTTAGACAAAGGAGTCCAAGACCAGTTCGGAAAAGGGTCACACCAAAACGTCACGAGAGTTAGGGTTGAAGTGACCTTGAGGAAATCAGTTCAGCTCCCATGCCAGTGTACAGGAGAAAACATTGGTGAAGGGAAGCTTAGAGCCCACGGGGAAGATGGTCATGGCAGAATTTTMGATCTGTCAAGCACATTATCATTAGGAAAGTATGTGTTCATTAACGACAAGAGAAGACTGAAGGTTGAAGGAGATTGTAGCATTTATGYATATAGGCCCCAGCAGGAAGATCAAGGTGATTATAAATGTTTTTTTTATGATCCACAGTTTGTGAGTTAAGGGTCAGAGTTGGGACTCAGAGTTAGTATAGTGACTCTAGTGGTCAAAGATGAAAATAAGAGTTTAGAACTCCAAGTTGTTGGGGAAACAACTAAGAGTGTTAATACATCAACTGAGGCTACCGCTAGAGCTATGACTTTAAAGGGGATGAATACTAAAACAGTGACAACATCTTTGACGCAGACACTTGTTATGACATCTTTGAAATTTAAGGGGGAAGTAGATGAAACACAGAAGCAAATGTTAAAGATAGAGACTAGTATGAACAGTGATGAGATTTTTCAGATGGTGGAAGAGAGTGATGTAGATACATCTGTGACAGCTCTGAAAACTATTTCAGATGTGAAAAATACGTTTTTTGATTCTGACCAGACACCAGGAGATATGACTGATCAATCCCATACATTAGAGAGAGACTAAGTGGAAGGCATTTGGATTTGATCCTTCGGTGTTACAAATTGCAGACCCATGGGCAGGAAGGAACTTATGGTTCCAGCAGTTAWCTCATTCCGTAAGATCGGTTAGGAAATTGAACTGTCCATGTGTGRTAAAAGTTCCATCACCAGGCACATGGCCTTCAATTTTGGAGACGGTGCCAGAACCACTAACCAGTGTGTGTCAATCTTATGCACTATCATGGCTGTTGTATCAGCAGCAATCAGCAAAGGATAAAGTGATGGCTTTGTCAGTGCATCTGTTTAGACCTAGACTTAATTGTTTTTGGTTGGGAGAATTACCAAGATGAAGACTTCTTGAGATGTACAAGTCAGAGATTAGCAGAAGTTACAGCATTTGGCGAGAAAAATGCGGAACCTCCTGCTCATCGTCCCCTTGCTCTCCTTCTCTATCTTCTTCTTTTCTATCTTCTCCTCCTTATCTCTCTTCTTCCTTTCTATCTTCTCCTCCTTATCTCTCTTCT